AGAGTTGAAGAAAACTCAGTCGAAGGGGCTTAAATCTAAGTGCTCCGTAAATCTACATGAATTTGCAGGATTAAAGTGACCTTAAGTTTTCATGAACATAGATCTTGGTATATTTTACACAAGCATATACAAATGGTACAATAAGGGGGTAGAACAGCTTTGTAAAATTACAGGAATGCAGACCTGAGGCTATGTCCGCTTCCTGTCAGAATTTTTTAAAATTATACGCAACAAATTGTTTTCATTTATTTCATATTTTTTCTCGTTTTTTGAACTTTCGATTTATGATTCAAGGGTTGGGTTAATCTTCTTTATTAGAAATTATTTGAGTCAAACCACTCGATTATCTAAATTAAAAAATGATATTTGGAGTCGATTTGTCTGGATCGCACGATAGCTCTCGAAAAAGTATTCGATCGTACTATGTCATGTGTGAAAATGGACAATATCGGCCCACTCCATCAAGAATCTCCCCCATAAAAGGTAAAAATTTTGAATAATTATAACTCTTATAAAAGTGAAATATCGGCCAGATTGCCTTTGATTGCGATCTCTCATATCTTGCGAAAAAAGTCAACGATTCTTTTCAAACTTGGTATGTCTAAATATTTTTCTCAACCAGAGATCTGATATGAATATGGAATTTATCGGCACACTCCTTCTAGTACCTCCCCCGAAAAGTTTATCATTTTGATTAATTACATAAAATTGTAAATAAATGTTTGATTTTCTTCAAATTTAGCACATACCAATTTTTTATCAGCATTAAAGGAATTGGAATACTTCGGTCCGCTATATATCGTACCTTACGAAAATGTTAACCTTTTACAAAAATTATTTCATATCTCATGTTGTATTATTACCAACAGACTTAGGTCAGATACGAAATGGACAATATTTGGCCACTCTTTTGGAACCTTCACCAACAGTTTGAACAATCATAGCGAAGGCTAAGGTATACATCTTTCGGCAAAACCAACTGATGATTTCGAAATTTTAGGAGGCACCAGAAGGGTGATATGGCTGACAGATACATTTTCCAATCATTTGTATACCTGTTGTTTAAGATCTCATCCTCTGTGCTACTGCGGGTCTATGTTAAAATTATGATCGTATATTGCCAATTTCTGGAGTTTCTATTCACTGTGAAAACTAAATGCCAAATAAATTTGTTTGTTGGAGAACTGTGTCTGAAACCTTCAAAACACCGAAAACTAGGAGGTAACGTTATATGGGATCAATTCCAAATTGTGGATCTATTTTACCTTTTTTAAATATTAGATTACATATGATTTGGTTGGAAATTATGACAAGACTTGTGAAATTCTAAAAATCAGATAACCTTCTGTAATTTAACAAAAAATTTCTGGGCAAATAAAACCCTCCCTAAAAAATAATGTAATCAGGTATCTTCTTAGATTAATAATGAACTAATTTTTGCAGGGAGTGATTATGTCTACTCAGAATCCGAAATGTCAAATATGAATATCGGAGCAAAATTTGTAAATAACAGAATCCTTCCCTGTATAAATCTCTTTTTTGAGAATCTGCGCGTCGCACAGTGTCACGACCGTGGCTAAGAATGGTCAAAACCGAGTGCCTTGCAATAAAAAATTATTGACGGGAATTGATAGATACCACTGAGAAGAAATCTGAATTTTGGTATTCACACGTCAAGTATTTTTTACTATATGAGGATTTAAATCCGACTATTTTAGTTGATCGCTATTTTTGTTTAAAATTAATCAAGCATATTATGATGAGCTATATAAAAATTTAAAGCATCGGTCGCTACAAATGTAAATAGTAAGCTTTCTTCGGATGTAATAGGCTTTTTAATTGCGTGTAAATGCTGACCATATGGTGGTTGTACTTATTTTATTACTTTTGTAAACCAAATTTTCTAATTAGTGGAGTGGGTAAATTTTTGTATAAAAGTGTATATCGTTTTTATTTGTTGTACTTTAAATGTATAAAGGTGCAGGCTGTTGAGGTTTGCTGACGGACATGTTATCTATCATTTTCAGTGACTACTTCATAAAACTTACAAACAGATTGGAATAGGTCATATATTATGTCTACACTTACAAAATTTGTTGAGGACATAATGGAAATGTCTTCAAATTGTAAAAAATATTGTCCTAAACGGTACGATGTATTTCATTTAGAATTTGTATCTTTGAAGGTTATACTTATTCTACAAAATATTTAAAAAATCGGGGAAAGTGTGGGCCTATATGCAGGGTGAGATGATAAAACAGCAACCAACTTCAGACTGCTGTCATTTCTAAGCCACTCATTCAACAGCTGTTAAAATTACAATTAAATAGAACATTTTTATTATCTAGGAACTTGGTAACTCTAGGTTAAGAGGTCGCTAAAGTATATTGATTGTACGAAAAGTTCAGCCAGAACCAAACACCGTTGGATAGGTGAGCTTGTTTGATCGTAAAAAGTAAAAGTTAAGTTCGGCCGGGCCGAGCACCAGCACCCATCCCATTAGATGAAGAAAACCATTGAAAATAAAAGTATTCGGATTCGGTATTCAAATGGCCTTCATTTCAAACTGGAAATCCCAGCGAACACTATTGAAGAATTTGTTAAAAACTTCAGAAATTTTAATGGGGCGGCAATGTTAAATGAAGATATACCTAATCTTGAGCGTGGACCTATATAGACAGTGTTTTGTCACCACATATGGATCCCATCACAGAATATAAATATAGAATTTAAAAAAAATAAATTAGAAAAAGTGGTTAAAATCATAGGAATACCGAATATTGGGAGGTACAGTCAAATTGGAAACACTGCCGTTGAAAATGTGGCTTAAATCTTTAAAATATTGAATATCTTGAGGTACCGTCTTATGGGGCAATAGGAAAACGTTGATCTATATAGATACAATTCTGCCACAATATGCAGAATCTATCAAATATGAAACAATTATATTCTAGTAGCTTAAATCGCCAAAATCCTGAATATCGGGAGGTTCCGTTATATGGGAGCTATACGAAACTATATATATTTGGTCCTCGACATAACAAGCCAACAATAAGTACTTGTACCAAAATTCATCCACTTCTGTCAACTCCTTCTCTTTTTGGCCACCATTTATATGAACTCTCGACATAGTGGGTTATGAGAAACGAAGATACAAATCCATAGATCTTCTTTTGATTTTTCTTGGACTTTGTCGAAGTCGTCCGTATAAAACAAACGTTCCTTTTTAAAAGGTTTTTTAAAGATACGATCTAGGAAATGTTGTAATGAAATAATCATTTAGAATTAATCCGAATTTTCAGTTTTGTATAAGAAATATACTTTCGTTTATTAAATAATTAAAAAGATTTTTATCTCTCCCACAAGATATTTATTTTTCTAGTTTAATGTATTACATCATTTATTTTTCTAGTTTAATGTATCATTATCAAAAAAGTCTAAAAATAAATATTAAAAAATGCATAATTTTCAATCAAATTTTATAGGTCCATTACTTGTAAATCTGTGTAATTATATCAAACAATTGTATATACATACATAGCTTATGAGCTTATAAACATTAGCATATGTTTTCTAAAAATCCATCGAGACAGATTTGTAAATTAAGCTTAAAAAGGAAAAATCATAGCCCTCCATGTTGGGTAACATCTCTGCTGGGTCCTTTATAGATATGTAAAATTATGTAAATTATTATATATATGTATATATTTGTATATTTGAATAAATAGACATTTAAGTTGACATACATATTTCAATACAATGATGTAAAAATAAAAGTGAACTGGCTGTAATCTACAAGGTATGAAGTCAATTACATTTTAAAATTTTGGTCATTTCAAAAATTCGATTGAAATGCTAGCGTTTTTCTTTCGCGGTCTCAATAAATTCATTATATCCAGTCCTTTATAACTCTCCAATGTCGTCAATGTCACTCCTTCTCATCTTGTGTTTCCATTCTAGGCCCTCTTTGGCAGTGAAAATATTCTAAAAAATGATTTTTACAATTTGTTTTGATTTGTTTTAAATAAACTTTCTTATCTTCCTTTTTTCTTCTTCTTCTTCTATTCTCTATTTCTAACTGTTCTCTTCAAATACTTCAAATACTATTGGTTTTTTCTCTTGCACCCATTACGCCTATCGATAATAATTAATAATTTTGTTTTCATTTCATTCAATTTACTCCCGATTCCAATGATCCAATCGCAAATTGAGTTTTCTTCTCATTACAAATTTGTCCTAATTTTTTTTTTGTGTTTGATTATGTGTTTGTTACGTTTTCCATTTCACAACAAAATATGAACAATTTTTGCAAAAACCAATAAACAACAATCAATGAAATGAACAAACACAAACAACAAATAAAATTCGCCAAACAATATTTAATTATATTTCAAATTGAAATGAAAATCAAACAAAACGACAAACCAATGTTGATTCATTAAATCGAATAATTTATTTGTCAACATAACAACAACAACAATAATAATAATAACAATAACATGGCATTCGAATGAATTTGGTGCTGGATGTGTGGGTGCGAATGTGCCTGTGTTTGTGATCGATCGGTCGGTTGCATACAACCCAATGATGAAAACAAAAAACAATCTTGCACTGCTCCCTTCATCGTGCCACCACCCACCGTCACCCATGTCAAATGTTCAAAATAATATTCCATTACCTTTCCTGACCCAAATCGTAATTTTTCTCTCCGTTGAAAATCCGTTTGAATGTTAACCGCCCACCACCAATAAACGGATTTATCTAATATTCGTCTTTTTTCGTTTCCACAAACACTCGCATGCACACAACAAACACACACACACAACTTGTCGTAACATACAACAAATACAACGTACATATCAACATCCATTGTAATGTACTTGGCACCGACATTTTTACACGACCTCCACCACCATCAACACCCAACCACCACCACCACCGCCATTGCAACACCCAACATTTCCAACACTGTCCTCCTGTCTACAACATGACATGATTAGATTCCATGGGGACTGAAAAAAATCTGTTGGGGACTGATAAATATAACTGTGCCCAGGGTAAGCTATTTAAATGAATTCCATCATCTGTTCTGTTCCGTTTTTTTGTCTGTTTGTCTTAATATTTTCCAATGTTCGTTTTTTTGTTTTCGTTTTCGTTGTTTAACTTTTTTGTGCGTATCCTTTGTTTAATAATTCAGTATTTTGTTGTTATTTTATGTTTGTTACAATGTATCATTCACCCTTAACTCGAAGTCATTTGACAGTTTTCTGATTAACTCGTTTAGCTGTTTGTGCTACTAACAATAATCTAAGCATCTTGGAGGATTAATTCAAACGAATTCTTCGAATGTTGTAAATACGCAACTTTTGTACTTTTATTATTATGTACAAATACAGACAAATGAACTTTCTAAAAGGCGGAGAAAGTGCCTATTTCTCTTGAATATTCCTAATTAGGGTTGTGCGTTTTTTTTTTATTTTTTTTTCAATTATGAGACAACAAAAAGTGATAAATATAGCCAAAACTAAAAAAAAAAACAAAATGCAAAGTTGTCAATTTATCGTGGTCCCAACAAGGCATTAAAGCATTATAGTGAAGTCCGTCTAATGCGTTTTATTAGAAAATCGCCTATTTATAAAGGGTGAGCCATAGGAAAGCAAAACAGAAAAAACATAAAATTAAAAAAAAAATCCGCGAAGGCGCCTTTAACAGTCCCTCCACTTAGTTAAATTTTGGCATACTCTTTGTCTTCCAAACCGTATAACCTTTTGAGGTTATACCAAAATCGACACTCTTTTTGAATTAGCCTAGCCCTATGGATTATAAATTGAGTTAAAAGCCGCAATTTTATCATCAAGGTTTCTATAGGTTGAAGTGGATCGATATATTTTATACATATACACATATTTCGAGTCGCATTAGGGGCTCATTAAATCCAAGAGTTCTTTTAAAAAAAAACTATCCATATTCAAAGTGAAACTTGTCGATATTTTTTCAAAAATTAGTTTGGGTCACCAGGTCGGAGTTGGATGGTGTTGTGCTGGACATTCAACAATACGACGCTAATTGCCATACAAGCAACGAGCCATTGAAGAATGTTCGAACCGTGTTATCCTTAGAAGAATTGACTGAGCATATTGCGATTTAAGGAGCCCAGGAGTGCAAATACAACACCTCAAGAGAATACGACAATTAGTTTTCATGAAACATATATGGCCCTGTAAGCCAGCACGAGGTTGTCAGTTGGTTGATATTGTTCGAACTGCGTGCTGCAGAGATGCCGGGTATGGAACTCTCCAGTTTGTGTCGGTTTCACAAAGTCCGTATGGTTATTGGTGTCTACAACAAAATGTAAATTTAAATGAATACATCTTAACAAATAGAGAGTTTAACACCAAAGAAAATGTATCTTCCAGCCAATTCGATTGGAAAATTTTATCCAAACCTACCAAATAGCAAAATTTTTATACCCTCCACCATACATAGTATGGAGGGTATATTAAGTTCGTCATTCCGTTTGTAAATCATCGAAATAATCATTTTAGACCCAACAAAGTATATATATTCTTGATCAGCGTAAAATTCTAAGACGTCCGTCTGTTGTAATCACGCTACAGGCTAAACGAATTAAGATAGGAAGCTAAAATTTTGTCTGCAGGCAGGTCAAGTTTGAAGATATCGTATAGCCCCCATATAACGGTACCCCCGATATTCGGTATTTTGATGATTTTACCCACATTTTCCAATGGAATGGTCTGAAAATCCGCACAAGGAGTTTCTTGTGAGTACTTTATCCCTTGAGAGAGAATTATCTATAAGGTCCACGATATCGTATAGCCCCCATATACATACCCCCCGATATTCGGTATTTTAATGATTTTAGCCACATTTTTCAAGGTAAGGAGTTCCTTGTGGGTACTTTATCCCTTGGAAGATAATTATCTGTATAGGTCCACTATATCGTATGGTCACTATATAACGGGACCCCCGATATTCGGGATTTTGATGATTTTAACCACATTTTGCAATGGAATTATCTGAAAATCCACACAAGAAGTTCCTCGTGAGAATTTAACCCCCTTAAAAAGAATTGTGTAAATAGGTCCACAATATCGTATATCCCCCATATATCGGCACCTTCCGATTTTAGGTATCTTAAAGATTTTAAAATAATTGTTAATGGTTTTTATTTTTTGAAAATTTTCTAATGGTGGAGGGTATTTAAAGTTCGGCCCGGCCGAACTTACTACTTTTTTACTTGTTTACTTGTTCTTGTATAGACCAAAATATCAAAGAGTAGTAAATTTAGTAGAAAAATGTGGTTTGAAAGGGACCGTTATATGGGCGCTGCAACCAAATCGTGTATCCATATGTCTCATCTTCCAACTTGATTTAAGTTCGATTAAAGGAAACATATTTGTGGGACATGACTAATTCGTCGTAGGCCGATCAAAAATATATGCAATTTATGGACCTAAAAGTTACCATTGGAGGAGTTCCTAATGGAATGACCTAATTAGTATATCTTCCATGCCATGGTAAAAGGCACCTCATTTAAACATATATAGAGATATTTTACCGGCTGGAAATCTGACAAATTTCAGCCAATTCGGTTCGACTTTCAGCCAAATTTCTAATAATGCATTAGAGTTTAAATGTTGTAGACTTTTGTCAAATGACAGATAGTTTGGTTGAAAAATGTGTCTTTGGCATTAAAAATAAATAAAATCGGAGACAGGAATTTCTGAATACACTAAACTCCTTTGTCCCCAATACGCTAAACTCCAATTCCAAAATATACGAGGATTATTTTATTTCGCTTATTTGCTCAGAGTGGCAAATTCTATTTTCTGTTAGCAATTTCTATTTTTTTCTATGGATCTAAGTTTTTATAAAATTTTTATAATTCGGGAAGACAAATTTCAATCGATAAACTAGGAAGTGTTTTTCTCGAAAATGATTTAATTTACAGATTCAATAAGTGGACGGTGTGTCTACATAGCAACTGAGTTTTAAATATTTTCAGAGGGCTATAGTGACTTTATGTCTTAGAAAGAATGTTGCCAGGTATTACAAAGGGAGGGACAAAATCAATATACTTCCAATCTGATGGATTAAACCGAAATACTCTGTATTGCTCCAAATTTGAAGAAAATATTTAGATCCGAAAGATTTCTATTACAATGGAAACTCTCTTCGTCGTAAGTGATATTATGCACAAATCAACATTTCGACAATTTTTGGAGGAGATACAAACCAAATATTAAGAAAAAGTTGAATTATCCGAACATATATTAACCACACGGAGAAAACATATAATCAGATTGTAAGGAAGTATTAAAAAAGCTTTAATAGTCTTAATTAAAAATCAGATGGATATACATAACGATTAACATAAAAACGTAATAGATAATATATAACCCATACTTACAAGTTTTTTAAACGTCCTTAACCATTATCATATGTTTTTATTTCGATTAATTTTTGGTTTTGCTTCTATTAAATAGTTTTTGTACTGCACGAGTACATCGCTCTATGGTACAGGATATATTGTCATTCTAGATGTTCTTGGCGCAAGGGGAATACTGTATACCCCTTCTCGCCAAGCAACGTAAGTGCGTCGTAAAGAGAAATGCATTCAAATGATAAATTGCAACATGATTTTCTTCGTCCGAATCCTCCTTGTAATATATCACGAAGTAGCAAGTTAACCATTTCCCACCTCCTTCAAATATTAATGACATTTTTATACCAAAACAGTTTAAATAATTTTTATAGATAAGGTTTGTTAACTAATTTTCCAAAATGGTAAGTTATATTTTGCAGTTTTAATATCCTCTTCCATGGAATAGTTGTACATTATTCGCCAAGTAAAATTCCCCAGATGGAATGCATTTCCATATATTAGAAATCAACCATATGATTTTACTTTCCTCACACCATACCCCCAATAGTGGCAGTATTCTTTTTCAAGATTTCCATTATAAATATTCGACATAAGCTGTTTAAGGATCTCATATAAGGGCGTTTTTTGTGTTAGAGAAAAATCAGACTGGACACAAAACCCCATACCATAATATAATTATTTTTTATTTTTATTTAAATATTATATAAATATTTTTTTTACTAATAATTGTCATTGATCGTTTACATTAGTTTCGATTCTCTGTTCAAGATTTTGCTTGTTTACATTTGTTTCATAATTGTTTAAATAACTTCCATTGCCCCTCTCTATCTATATATTACCCTGCTCAACTTTCAATGTACCTGCTTAAACCACCCATCCAATTTGTCTCCCTGTAGATAAAGTTTAAGATATATATTATGAAAAATTATACAAAGAAAATGGCAATAGAAACTTGTTGTCATTGATGCCGAACCTAACATTTTATGTACATTTTTGGTGTTGTGTTAGCTATTAGATGTTGTCCCCTCCCTTCCCTCTTTGAATATGATATCACATTTTGATTGATAATGTTTCGAAACAATCTTAGTTCCCCTCAAAGCATGCAGTCTTTGTTTGTGGTCGAACACACTTTTTATTATGAGTCGAGTAGCTTTTGTTAAGAAGGACGCAAATAAGAAAACCGGGTTCTTTTATTAAAAAGGACGTCAATGAGAAAACCGGGTTAATGGGTAACAAATTTGTGGAGATAACATTTTGGACATTGAAAGTGTACAAATAATGTGTTACTATGGTCAGAGGAATTATTTATTTTTTAACATTGCGAATGCTAAAGACTGCGATTAGATATCATTTTCCATATATTCTTGAATATGGAGAAAGCAGAAGATAAATTAATTACCACACAGCTATTTTGACATTAAATATATTCAACATCAACATCGCAAAGTAAGAAGTTCCTAGTTCCCTTTCTTTCTACAAGATTTTTTTTAATTTTCGGAATAGGATTTACATTTCATGTATATATAGAGTGATATTATAAGAACTATAGAAACATATAGAAAGAAAAACAACAAGAAATAAAATTTAGAAAAATTTGAATTGATTCATGCAAATGTTGATCCGCAACAGCGTCTCAAATGGTCTAATGCT